TCTGGTAAGACTTAAATATATTTGTGGAGACATTTTTTTATTGGTTATAATTGATTTCCTTAACCGTCAAACTTTTCAGATTTATTTAAATTCTTTTAACGATGAGGAATAATATATTTCCGGTACAGAAATATACAAAAGTTCCAAAATATTTCCCTTTTTCTGGAACTGGTTTAAAGTCCGAACCAAAATGCATTCTCGATTTTCAAGGTAATTAATTCCTGGCTTATTGCAATACTTACGGTGTGCACGGAAGTGGGATCCCTCAGCCAGGCGTTGTACATCTCCTCCACATAGGAGGCGGTGCTGCCGTTGGCAAAAGGTTCGGCAGCCGCGGAGTTGTAGGTGCGGACAGCGGCCGCTGCGGTTGCCTTGGCCATCTATCAGAGATTTGGGGTTAGTGGGATATACTGCGGATATTCTTAATTTACTCACCTGCTGACTGCTGCTGCTCTTAAGCAGCCAGGTGGCGAAATTCTTTCGCGCCATCGGCGACAAGGCCAGACTAAAGGCTGTGTGTGCTCTATGCATTTTGTAGCTTTACAAAATATAACTGAAACGGAATGGAGAGACAATCTTTAGTGGGGATCTTATCAGCGAACTATTATATCACTTGCGACTGATTAATCGATGGCGCTTTTGTTGACAAACAAGCCACGTAGAAGATAGCACCACCCCCTAAACACCGAACCCCTGACCCCGGGCTGCTGTAAATGCGATAAGATAGCCTAGAAGTTTTTACGTCATGGTCATGTTCTGTATTTTAACTGTGTCACCGATCCACCAAATAATTAAAACTTGTTGCTAGGCCAGCAGACCAGTTATGAAATTGACGCACAAAACACGTTCACAATAGGTGGGGTTGGGGATGTTTTGTTAGGGAATTTACATACGTCCAAAGCCAGACTAGAACTAGACCGCTGAGATCGGGGGATCACTTGGCAAAATGGAGCACACGTGATGCCGTACGCCCGCTGATTCCGGCGATGACGTCAAGCTAGCGTGGGCTGGTTTCGACAGTCCGCTCGTCTTTTTGATAATCAGCCAAGAAATGGCGGAGATACTTTGGCCCCCAAAATATAATGGTGAAATGGGGTTTATATAGGGAGAAAGAGAGGGAAGTCAGCTGCTTTTTGCGCAGTTTATTCGTTTCCCAACATTTAATCACTTGGGAATATTTGCCTTGGCCTTTTGTTTGCCGTCTCCGAATCACTGTGAGCATTCACTTGGATTTTTGGCCAAAAAAAGTTTGCCCAGATAACGAAAAAGCGTCAAGAGTCAATGTGTCGGGGTCGGAGTAATAAATTCCTGCGGAACATGACTAAACGCAGAAGTCTCCAGACGCACTTGCTTGATAAGATGGCTGGTGGCGAACCGGCCTCCAATCCTGATCATGCCACGCCAGCACTTCCAGAATTTGGCATATTAATAATAAAATTATTAGCGATAGGGCTGCGCGTGCGGATGTCGTAATTGAATCCCTATCTAAAGCCAGTCGTGCAAAAAAATATACACAAATTGAAATTTCGAATGGGAACTGAGGGGGCAATGAAGGCGTGGCCAGGTCACATGTCTTATCGGCGAACGCATGCTGGCCAGACGATCCAAATCAAATGATTACAAAACACTTGCCCCCAGACATGAGAAAAAAAGAAAACAATTGGAACGACTAACCGGTTTGGAGCGGTCAAAGTTACGCATTTGAAAGTGCATCACTTTTGCTTTTCGGTTTTGTAATAGTTACAGATACATTTACATCTGTAAATGGGTTGCAGCCCACAATTGATAATTCAATTTAGCAGCGTGACAGTTTCTTTCAGTGTTATTTATCTGTTTGCTTGTTTTGTGCTGGCGCTTTTCACATACTGCTTTCCCTGCAATTATATTCAGCTCGACGTCGCCGTCGCTGTTACGAAAACACATTACATAAGTGCAAAAAAACAGAGACTAGCGTGAGAGAAGCTAAATATTAGAATGCTCTGATGGAGCTAATTAGTGTGAAATAGCTCAATCGCTCGGCGAGCTTGCTGCAGTTCCAATTTGGAGCATGACTGGAAAAATCCACTTTAATATTTTCCCAAGGGGTGTGGAATCCGACTATATATAAATACACTGCACTGCGGTGGAATAAACCACCGTCTATATACGCATATACTGCGTGCGATTGCTCCAAAAACCAACCGAATATATGTACTCGTCGTACTCGTATCCGTATCTGACAGATACGCGGCAAACGTTTGTTCGTGCTGAGTGCTGCGCGTCGACTGAAGCGAAAAATACAAAAGCGGCCGCCTTCGAGAGTGAAATATAAAATTTAGAAATCGAATTTGCTCCTCACGAATTGCCGAGCGGTGTGGCGGGGGAGAAAATTGGAAGGAAAACAGAGTGTGTGATAAAAAAAAACACAAAGCGGGCACATGACAACTCGGCGTTGTATCTTTATCTTTGGTCAAAAGGGGGTTTGGTCTTCGATCGAGAGAGCTGATAACAATCAGGTATATATCGCCCGTACTTCCTCCGCTTATCTAACCGCCTATCCTCCCGTTTTCCGCCCATGTCTTGCGTATTTATAGACCGAATTTGTTTACAACAATCCTAAAGTCCGATTCTCAACCGGCTGACTGTTTGAAAAATGCCGCCCACACAGCCGAAAAAGAGAGAGAAGGTAATTTAGAGAGTAAAAGAGGTATGAATAGGAAAATAATGTTTTGTCACATAGTATCGAAGGAAATCGAAAGTATTTATTTAGCAAATGAATACAAATTTCACACAAAGTTAATAAAATGATTCCATTGTTATTTAAGATATTATTTTAACAGGCCTTTGGAAATATTTTCTCGCCGTGTACCCAACAGGTCAGGCCAAGTGCAAGTGAATATGTGCGTGTGTATCGATTACCTTCCGCTAATCAATAAAGTTTCAAGTTCACACACGAGCCACATTAATTTAACAATTTACCTCGAGACCGTGTGCTAAAAAGGGAAATGTACCGAATCTTTAAGCACTCTATAAATTGGCAGAATCTTTTTTTTCGGATTTTTAAAATAAATATTAATTTTTTTCTTGAAAAAGATTTTTTGGGATTATTCTGAACATAATATTTTAGCTTCTTTGCAAATGAATAGGAAATTTCTTTTCGGAAAATCTTTGGACTGACCTATAATAAACCTATGTATAAAAATATTTGTATTGAGTGTACAAAAAAGAATGTATTAATTTTTAGTTTATAAATTAAATTTTTTTTTAGAAAATTAAGAATATGTATTATCCGAATAATAACTATTAAAAAAGTAAAAATTTTAAAAAATGTATAATTTTGACTATAATATATAATCTAATGGTAGCTAGGTTTGACAGTTTGATAGCGCTCAAGATATGATACCTTACAAAAGGGTATAGAAAGGTAAGAAAAACGCAATCGATAAGGTTGGAGACCTTGCTTAGCTGGTCCAAAAACCAGTATGCAACTGCATTCCATTGAAAACCCTAGACGAGCCCCCTGAAAGAAGAAGAGTGGGCCAAGAGCATGGGGTAATTCAATGGCGTGTCCAAAGGGAGAGTGGGAGGGGGATTACTATGGGGGTTACTATTCCCGATCTATGGCCTTCACAGCTGTCTTATGATAGGTTGTGGTTAGTGTTCCACATTTGCGCCTAGCAAAAACTAGTTGTGCTTCCCCAGACAATGCGGTCTCGCGCTTTCTTCTCGTTTTTTCCTCTTTTTTTTTGATTGATGATTCATTTAGCGTTCGGAGAAAAAGCACACGCGGCACTCGGTCAATTGCGTCATCAATGCGCCAAGTTAATTTTACAAAATCACATGTGACGTCGCCGCTTGTTTTGCATTGCGAAATTTCACTTTTCTTTCGGGGCAGCCGGCGCAAGCGCTTTACCACCGCCAACCGAACCGCCCACCTGCACTTTTCGCATTATATAAGAACAGTCCTTGAATTTAATCGAGGGCAAAGTCTTTAAGAATCATTTTTTAATGCCTGCAACTTGCACCATAGTAAATGGGGAGGACACAGCGATGTGTTTATCGAAGAAATGCTGGTGGGTTATTCCAGGAATTCCACATGATTGAAAAGCGGGGTTTGAATGTGGGGCAAGAGAAAATCACGTGAAATTTAAGTTTTCAGGAAATGCCAGTAGTGTCACTTATTCGCTTATTAACCAAATAACTTTTTTCAATTTTACCGCACTTGATTTGCTTAAAATTAAGTAATATTTGAAATATTTACGTTTTTATAAAAACTTTTGCTGGGACGCAGTGTGACCGCGTTGAAGTCGATAAAATATGCCGCCCGGCTCTCAAAAATAAACTTTTTATACCAATATCTTTAAAAAAATATACCTTAAATATATCTAGGGTACTCCGCAAATTATGAAAGCTTGTTATATACAAATATCGCGGAAATTATATTTATACTTGTTCATAGCTTCTGATAATTTTAAACAGCAAATTCGTTTTTGAAGTTTTAAGCTTTTGCGAGTATGGGATTCCGCCAAAAAAGATAAAAGCATAGCAATATAAAAATGCATTTAGTGCGATTGGGAAATGTTAAAGGTATTTATTGTATTAGTTAACGGTAACACTAATTTTACGTGCAACTTGTGCTTTGTGACAAGAGATGGCGCCACTGTGGCAAGCTCCGCGAGGAACCTCATGTAAAATAAATGTAGAATTGAATAGAATGTCATCGTAGCCTATTTTATATGAGAACGATAAAGAAAACTCGCATAAGTATTTGTTATTGCCAAAAGACGATCTTAAAGGAGTAGAGAGGAGTCACTGCAGAATATATTTGGGCTTTGACAAATAAATCCGAGCTCAATTCAATTGTTAAATCAAAAAGTAGGGCTAAACTGCAATTTATCTAAGCCCCTACCAGTTGCTTACAAAAAAATTTCAAATGAAATATTCACCGCATGACACAGTCAAACTGGAATTAAAGTTGCACTAAACTTTTAATTACTACGCACACTAGATAGAGCTGCTAATTAATATCTGCTGTATTGATCCAGACAGTAGCCGGTGATTTGGTCGGATATGCAGTCGAAGACATCAAAAGCAAGATCGCAGCTTTCACCTTTCTGGGGCAGCTCCTTGCGGTTGACTTTGTACCGGGCGGTCATTGTACGGAGGCAGAGGTTCACGGCCCGCAGCGTGGCCATGAAGAAGCCGTGCTCGTGGACGCCCTCGGAGTAGAAGTGGACCAGGCCGTCCAGCGTGGGCCAGCCTTTCTGGTCGATGGCGTGGTTCCTGGCGTATACGCAATGCAACAGGCACTAAAAATAGGGGTCATTGTGAAAAATATATATTCAACAGTGATTTTGTGGGGAGTATATAGAATGCCATATAAACCTGCTTAAAATTCGTAAAAAAAACAGGGGTGCACAGTAAAAAATTGACTTAACAACTTATAATAAACTACAATTTTGTTATATTAAAAAACCTCAAAGCGGGTGTATTTCTATTAATTTGCCTTACTGTAAATAATATTACAAATTTTATTTAATTAATATTTGATTTGGTGCCCAGAATTTCCAATGCTTGTATTTATTTTTAATTGTGCGCTCAAATTATTCTTGAAAATAAATTTTCTTTTTATATATTTTATAATAACTTTGTTCATTCATGAGTCAAAATAATATAAATAATAAACTAATTTGTCATAACAGATGTCATGATCTAGATGATGATGATCTAGTACCAATAAAATGAAATACAAAAATTTTAAAAAGCCCAAAGGAAACAATGCAGATGAAAAAACGCAACAGAGCCTCTTCTTTCCAGTGTAGGAAGTATAGGGCTATCTGTACATTCAATTTGCTGATGCATAAACCCAGCTAATGTGTATTAAGTGCCGCCATGAAGTGCGCTTTTCAGCCATCAAATTCAGCATTACTGGAGGTGTGCGAAAAATCTCCGGCGGAGGCGTGTGATTTTGAATGCAACTGAAAATGCAAACGCAACTGCGGCTGCGGCTACGACTGCGCTTTTCTTTCGATTGTCTAATAACCCTGACTTTAGGCTTTGATGGGTGAGTTAAAGTGGGGGCTTTGTCAATTGTTTCTTGGGCTGCCATTGAACTTAATTGAGCGTCGTTTTTGCATTTCATTAACACGAGAAGAAAAGCGATCTACAAGTCTCGCAGAAAACTTATTCTGAGTGGTGCACTTACCCCCGCGATGCGTTTGTCTTCCAAAGGCACCAAAGTGGGATGGTATATACCCGAAGTGGTCACGTCCAGACGACGGATATTCCTCATGAGTCTGGCCACATGACGATGTGGTTCGGGTTCATCGTAGACCAAATACTCATAGTTGCTGATGTTGGGCAGATGATCTACGGAGGAGTCCGCGGGAATAAAGTCGATGGAGTCATCGTTGGGATCGATGGGCCGTTGATTGTGCGACACCTGCTCCTTGAGTATCTCATAGGCCTCTGTTTCGATATCGCAACTCCTTTAACATTTGAAATCCCTAACCGATATACAGAACTTACCATTAACCAACTTATTACGGACCTCATTCTGGCATTCCCCAATGACCGACTCCACTTTCCTGGCGGTTCTGGGAGGATTCAAGCACTTCGCCTTCTTCGTCTCGAAGCGAATTAAGTATTCCACCGCATCGATCGATGCGATAACCACACTCGAGATGTATAACAGTTGTGTAATCTTCATGGCTGCGATTAATTGGATGCTCCACGCCGATCCGAACGCCTGGGCTGCTGTCAAATGAATGTCCCCCGAAGAAATGACCGCGATGAAAACGAAAGCATTTTCACTTTCCAGCCAACCTGGCAGGATGGCCCACACTCGCCACTTATGAATTTCCAGTTTTTCAGTCTTTTTGCTCAATGGGTATGTGGTTCAATGGCAAACTGCAACTGCAGCTGCCACAACTGGTTGCACATTTCCCATGCGTGCAGTCCGTTAGAAACTTGTCCTTAAAGCCCGACCACATGCCTTTGAACATGGTCATTGGCAGCAGCTATACATATATCATGGCTATATGGCTCTCCGATCGCATTAGATTTCGTTCCATTGTCTCTGCGGTTGTGCGATTACAATTCAGTTATGTTAGGAACGCACTCGCTCCGATTGAGCGCACAATTAACCGATGGGTGGGCCCAGAAAACTCTTCCGCCTTCTGCCCAATTTGCATATGGCCAAAAAACAACAGCCATTAAGATTATCAAAGGCGGTAGTGGATGTGGGCTGGCCAGAACTATAAACTATAAACTATAACCAGAATCAAAGGCAGCCAAGCGGTGCGGTCTAATCAGAGGGCCTGACACATACCACCCCCCTCCCCGTCTAGAACCCAGAACAATGGCCAATAACTGTACTTGGAAGTGGCCAGGCCAGCGTGGTCTCCACACTAATTATGCTTCATTAAAATGCCCAAGATCCTAGGCGGAAATTGTCATAAACTTCTCTGGTCTCCTTCCAGCCGACGGGTATGGGTAATTGCCTTTAATTGCATACTTGGCCGAAAATTGCAGCTAAGAAGCTAAGACACTGACCTAGACTCGCTCTGGATCGAATTTGTAATAAGCCTGGCTAACGGAAAATGGAAAATTGAATCCCCCAGCGCTGAAGTTCAATGTTCAGTGCTCAGATTTTGCGCTGTGCTGGGGGAAAGGGGAGAATTGTCAACAGGAAGCTCTCCAGGTTGCAACATCGGGGAACAAGAACAACGTGAGCTAATTGACAGACAGCTACACAGGCACGATTTCCCATTTTCCGCTTGCCATTTTCCCAGCTCCTGACTCTTAGCCCCCTGTTTTTCCCCCTCCCCCAATCTGGCGAACAAGGAGCCACAAAATAAATAACACAGCAGCCTGGAGTGCAGCTGCAACATCACTTGCGTGTCCATCATTAGAACAAATTCTCTCACCTGAGCTCCAACCCCCCTCTCCCTCTCCCTTTCCCCTGAGCCCCCCTCCCCTTCCGCGCTTTTCTTGTAACGCAATTTGCACACAAATGCTGCTGTTTCATCTTCGTGGCTTGGCTGCCTCACTGTTTTTGGTGGGTGGTCAGGTGAGACAAGTGGCGGCAGCACCACCGTATAACGCCGCACGAACCGCTCACTGACTCGCCTGAGAATCGTATTTAAATACGAAGGTCTAACGCTGGATCGCATCAGTCGTCGTCGTCGCGTTGTTCTAGCCGCCAGCTCCTCCTCCTAAAAAAAAGCCACAAGCCAAGTCGGAGTTTAAGTCGGGATCTCAGTTCGGTTTGCGGCTCGATCGGATCGGTTGGGGGAATAGAAATTTATTTGGTGACTGTGCCTCTGGGACAGGATGTTCGTTTGATCTCTCGACTGGATTAAAACAAATGCGATTTGAAGATGCTGCATCTGCATCGCCACCTGCATCTCCTCTGGTTCCTCTGCGCTCTTTTGGGATACTTTGCGCATCCGGCGAGAGCGGAAATCGAATATAATACCATCAACGAGGATGGATCTTTTCAGTTTCGGTACAAAGATGTGTGACAAAGAAATTGTGAAGTTTTTAAAAAGCTATTACAAGGCCTGCAGGAAAAAGTGGCTTTTAAAATGATTAATATTGACTGTCAAAAAGTCCTGACTAGTGCCAGTTATTAAATGTTTTCACATAGGATTGAACAAATAATCTTAACAATTGCTTGTTATACCCTTGCAGAGGGTATTATAATTTTGGTCAAAAGTGTGCAACGCAGTGAAGGAGACATCTCCGACCCTATAAAGTATATATATTCTTGATCAGGATCACCTCCTGAGTTGATATAGCCATGTCCGTCTGTCCGTCTGTCCGTCTGTCCGTCTGTCCGTCTGTCCGTCTGTCCGTCTGTCTGTCCGTCTGTCCGTCTGTCCGTCTGTCTGTTTCTACGCAAACTAGTCTCTCAGTTTTAAAGCTATCGAATTGAAACTTTGCACACACCCTTCTTTCCTTTGCACGCAGTATATAAGTCGGAACGGCCGGGATCGGCCGACTATATCCTATAGCTGCCATATAACTGAACGATCGGAAATGCCATAACTTTGGTGTTTTTAAAGTTAGGAAGTTGGGATTTTCTATGGGTTTTACATTTGGCCAATCAATTTGACGTACCAAATTTTATAAGGATCGGCCGACTATATAGTATAGCTGCCATATAACTGAACGATCGGAAATGCCACAACTTTGGTGTTTGTAAAGTTAGGAAGTTGGGATTTTCTATGTGTTTTGTATTTGGCCATTCAATTTGACGTACCAAATTTTATAAAGATCGGCCGACTATATCCTATAGCTTCCATATAACTGATTGATCGGAAATGCCATAACTTTGGTGTTTTTAAAGTTACGAAGTTGGGATTTTTTATGAGTATTAAGAATGCATCATATGAATAATTTTGGAAAATATAATTTACAGAGTATTCTGCAAGGGTATATCAACTTCGGCTCCGCCCGAAGTTAGCTTTCCTTTCTTGTTATACCCTTGCAGAGGGTATTATAATTTTGGTCAAAAGTGTGCAACGCAGTGAAGGAGGCATCTCCGACCCTATAAAGTATATATATTCTTGATCAGGATCACCTCCTGAGTTGATATAGCCATTTTCGTCTGTCCGTCTGTCCGTCTGTCCGTCTGTCTGTCCGTCTGTCCGTCTGTCCGTCTGTCTGTTTCTACGCAAACTAGTCTCTCAGTTTTAAAGCTATCGAATTGAAACTTTGCACACACCCTTCTTTCCTTTGCACGCAGTATATAAGTCGGAACGGCCGGGATCGGCCGACTATATCCTATAGCTGCCATATAACTGATTGATCGGAAATGCCATAACTTTGGTGTTTGTAAAGTTAGAAAGTTGGGATTTTCTATGGGTTTTATATTTGGCCAATCAATCCGACCTACCAAATTTCATAAGGATCGGTCGACTATATCCTATAGCTGCCATATAACTGAACGATTGAAAATGCCATAACTTTGGTGTTTGTAAAGTTAGGAAGTTTGGATTTTTTATGAGTATTAAGAATGCATCATAGGAATAATTTTGGAGAATATTATTATAGAGAATTCTGCAAGGGTATATCAACTTCGGCTCCGCCCGAAGTTAGCTTTCCTTTCTTGTTTTTGAGATGTTACTGATGATTTTTATACCCTTGCAGAGGGTATTATAATTTTGGTCAAAAGTGTGCAACGCAGTGAAGGAGACATCTCCGACCCTATAAAGTATATATATTCTTGATCAGGATCACCTCCTGAGTTGATACAGCCATGTCCGTCTGTCCGTCTGTCCGTCTGTCCGTCTGTCCGTCTGTCCGTCTGTCCGTCTGTCCGTCTGTCCGTCTGTCCGTCTGTCCGTCTGTCCGTCTGTCTGTCCGTCTGTCTGTCCGTCTGTCTGTTTCTACGCAAACTAGTCTCTCAGTTTTAAAGCTATCGAGTTCAAACTTTGCACACACCCTTCTTTCCTTTGCACGCAGTATATAAGTCGGAACGGCCGGGATCGGCCGACTATATCCTATAGCTGCCATATAACTGAACGATCGGAAATGCCATAACTTTGGTGTTTGTAAAGTTAGGAAGTTGGGATTTTATATGGGTGTTATATTTGGCCAATCAATCCGACCTACCAAATTTCATAAGGATCGGCCGACTATATCCTATAGCCATATAACTGATTGATCGGAAATGCCATAACTTTGGTGTTTGTAAAGTTAGGAAGCTGGGATTTTCTATGGGTTTTATATTTGGCCAATCAATCCGACCTACCAAATTTCATAAGGATCGGCCGACTATATCCTATAGCCGCCATATATCTGATTGATCGGAAATGCCATAACTTTGGTGTTTGTTAAGTTAGGAAGTTGGGATTTTCTATGAGTTTTATTTTTGGCCAATCAATCCGACCTATCAAATTTCATAAGGATCGGCCGACTATATCCTATAGCTGCCATATAACTGAACGATTGGAAATGCCATAACTTTGGTGTTATATTTGGCCAATCAATCCGACCTACCAAATTTCATAAGGATCGGCCGACTATATCCTATAGCTGCCATATAACTGATTGATCGGAAATGCCATAACTTTGGTGTTTGTAAAGTTAGGAAGCTGGGATTTTCTATGGGTTTTATATTTGGCCAATCAATCCGACCTACCAAATTTCATAAGGATCGGCCGACTATATCCTATAGCCGCCATATATCTGATTGATCGGAAATGCCATAACTTTGGTGTTTGTTAAGTTAGGAAGTTGGGATTTTCTATGAGTTTTATTTTTGGCCAATCAATCCGACCTATCAAATTTCATAAGGATCGGCCGACTATATCCTATAGCTGCCATATAACTGAACGATTGGAAATGCCATAACTTTGGTGTTTTTAAAGTTAGGAAGTTGGGATTTTTTATGAGTATTAAGAATGCATCATATGAATATTTTTGGAGAATATAATTTACAGAGTATTCTGCAAGGGTATATCAACTTCGGCTCCGCCCGAAGTTAGCTTTCCTGTCTTGTTTAATCCAATCTAATAGAGGTTCCTACTTTTTAAAAATATCAAAAATTCAATTGTGCATCCTTTTTAATTTCCAATATCTTATATGATATTTTTATACCCTTGCAGAGGGTATTATAATTTTGGTCAAAAGTGTGCAACGCAGTGAAGGAGACATCTCCGACCCTATAAAGTATATATATTCTTGATCAGGATCACCTCCTGAGTTGATATAGCCATGTCCGTCTGTCCGTCTGTCCGTCTGTCCGTCTGTCCGTCTGTCCGTCTGTCCGTCTGTCCGTCTGTCTGTCCGTCTGTCTGTTTCTACGCGAACTAGTCTCTCAGTTTTAAAGATATCGAATTGAAACTTTGCACACACCCTTCTTTCCTTTGCACGCAGTATATAAGTCGGAACGGCCGGGATCGGCCGACTATATCCTATAGCTGCCATATAACTGATTGATCGGAAATGCCATAACTCTGCTGTTTGTTAAGTTAGGAAGTTGGGACTCTCTATGGGTATTATATTTGGCCAATCAATCCGACATACCAAATTTCATAAGGATCGGCCGACTATATCCTATAGCTGCTATATAACTGATTGATCGGAAATGCCATAACTTTGGTGTTTGTAAAGTTGGAAAGTTGGGATTTTCTATGGGTTTTATATTTGGCCAATTAATCCGACCTACCAAATTTCATAAGGATCGGCCGACTATATCTTATAGCTGCCATATAACTGATTGATCGGAAATGCCATAACTTTGGTGTTTGTTAAGTTAGGAAGTTGGGATTTTCTATGGGTTTTATTTTTGCCCAATCAATCCGACATATTAAATTTCATAAGGATCGGCCGACTATATTCTATAGCTGCCATATACATAACTGAATGATTGGAAATGCCATAACTTTGGTGTTTTTAAAGTTAGGAAGTTGGGATTTTTTATGAGTATTAAGAATGCATCATATGAATAATTTTGGAGAATATAATTTACAGAGTATTCTGCAAGGGTATATCAACTTCGGCTCCGCCCGAAGTTAGCTTTCCTTTCTTGTTTTCTTGTAAATTAATTTTTTTTTAAAGATTTTTAACACCCCAGTGGTAATATTTATTTAGAAATGTAAACGGAAAAGGATTTGTTTTTATACCCTTGCAGAGGGTATTATAATTTTGGTCAAAAGTGTGCAACGCAGTGAAGGAGACATCTCCGACCCTATAAAGTATATATATTCTTGATCAGGATCACCTCCTGAGTTGATATAGCCATGTCCGTCTGTCTGTTTCTACGCAAACTAGTCTCTCAGTTTTAAAGCTATCGAGTTGAAACTTTGCACACAGCCTTCTTTCCTTTGCACGCAGTATATAAGTCGGAACGGCCGGGATCGGCCGACTATATCCTATAGCTGCCATATAACTGATTGATCGGAAATGCCATAACTTTGGTGTTTGTAAAGTTAGGAAGTTGGAATTTTCTATGGGCTTTATATTTGGCCAATCAATCCGACCTACCAAATTTCATAAGGATCGGCCGACTATATCCTATAGCTGCCATATAACTGATTGATCGGAAATGCCATAACTTTGGTGTTTGTAAAGTTAGGAAGTTGGAATTTTCTATGGGCTTTATATTTGGCCAATCAATCCGACCTACCAAATTTCATAAGGATCGGCCGACTATATCTTATAGCTGCCATATAACTGATTGATCGGAAATGTCATAACTTTGGTGTTTGTAAAGTTAGGAAGTTGGGATTTTCTATCGGTTTTATATTTGGTCAATCAATCCGACCTACCAAATTTCATAAGGATCGGCCGACTATATCCTATAGCCGCCATATAACTGATTGATCTGAAATGTCATAACTTTGGTGTTTGTTAAGTTAGGAAGTTGGGATTTTCTATGGGTTTTATTTTTGGCCAATCAATCCGACCTACCAAAGTTCATAAGGATCGGCCGACTATATCTTATAGCTGCCATATAACTGAACGATTGGAAATGCTATAACTTTGGTGTTTTTAAAGTTAGGATGTTGGGATTTTTTATGAGTATTAAGAATGCATCATATGAATAATTTTGGAGAATATAATTTACAGATTATTCTGCAAGGGTATATCAACTTCGGCTCCGCCCGAAGTTAGCTTGCCTTTCTTGTTCAATATTGCAATAACACAAAAACTCGAGCACTAAAAAATATCATTAACTGCTCTACGTTCTATAATTATTTCATTAGAGGAGATCAAAAATTTAAATTTGTCATAATTTTACAAAAGCACCAGCAACAGTGGAAGATTAAAAGAATTTTATATTATAATAAAATGGTCAGATTTTGTGAAGGTATACTTATACACACTTAATATTGAAGGGATTCAAGAGAGAGATTAAAAACGTTTTTAATTTATTTAAAAAATGTTGTCTTTGTGGCCTTACATTTATGATCCCTACTAAGAACCCTTACCTAATTGTTCAATATAATAGCCAAGCCAAATAAAGGGAACATCTCAATTACAGTCTTTTAGCGGCCATGGGTCATAAATCTAACAAATCATTTAATCGGTCAGTGATGTCTGCTACCTCACCATCACACCCGTCCAAATTTGAGATTTTTAGCACCTCTTTAACGCCTTAACGTTTTGCAACCACAACAATAACACGCTTCCGACCATCTTTCCCTCTCCATTTCGCACGCATGGGGCAACGCAATTACTTGTGTTTCGATGGAAACGCCATACCACTTACCACTTACCACTGGATACTTCTTGTGGCAAACCGAACCGATCGGGCAACAGACATGCAAATGATGACATTGGGGGCTACTATCACAGCGCCTCGGGCACTCCGGACAACACGGTGCGAGGTCGCTACGGTTCGCGGAGTCCGGCGAGCGGCCAGATCGAGGAGACGGTCTACACAGCCGGACCACGTGGGTGAGTAAACGAAGACGCCCAAGACGCCCAATCCGGGTGGGTAAAGTGCGGTGGTGCACTGAGATAATTTCCATGTTCTTTTTGAATTTTAGTATTAGGTAGATCTAAAGCACTTTCTCTTAGAAGTTGTTTGGAGGTTGATTCCAATAATTGGATAGGATTCCAATGAAAAAACGATACACAAAAAAACCAAACTTTTTTTAAATTTTTTTTAAATTAAAAATGAAGAATAAGCGTTTCTCTATTGCTTGTTTTGTGGAAATTAGCTCCATGTAACTTTTTTATTTTATTATTAGGTACTTTCTTTAAAAAGGTATTTAATTTCAGTATTTGGATAAGATTCCAAAAACATGAACTGAAAAATTCTCAAAAACTGTTTCCCATTGTTTGTTTTGTGGTATTTTTATAACTAGTTGCAATGAGAAAAACCAAAACTACAAAAAGGGTTATAAAATAAAGAATAACAGCAAGAAACAAAGCGTTTTTAGCCGTGACTATAAAAATGCTTTCTTATTTATCAGGTAAAATAACTTTAATTACAAAAGAATGTTTATTTAATTAATGACCAATAATTTCATTTATATCGTAAAAAGGTTTCTAACTTTAAAAGACAATGTTTAAATTTGGCTGAATGCGAATGGAAGTTTCTTTAATCAGTGTGCCGTATTAGGTGTCTATTTTGCGAGTGTATTGGCGGTGGAGGAAGTGGCAGCACAAAGTGAGTTATCTCCCCCCGATGTCAGAGTTGAGCTCATATATCAGCGGTTGGCGGCAGGCGGCGGCCACTGAAGCGAATCGCAAGCTGCTTGGAGTTGGAGCCGTTCTAACACATTGGACGGTTTTTTCTGGCATTGCCTAAACGTTTTTCCATTACCGCTTCGGCTACTGTTGTTTTTTGCAATCTCCGGTAAATTGGGGGAAACAAAAAGCTGTTAACAAATTGACTGGCCTGAGAGTTTCGAGTAAAAACTATAGACACTACTTGCTCGTACCGATTGTAGATGCTCAGCGATAGCGATGATTCTGAATGGGATCGTTCCCCAGAGATGTGGGGTAATCAAAGTAACGACGTGCCGGGTTCAGAGATCGGATCTATATTCGGAATTGCAGTGCAAATCCGCTTCCGCTGGGAGGGTTTACCCAATCCCCACTCATTGTGATCGGCAGCTAATTAATCTCCCTCAATTCCCATACAGGTTTCGCGTGAACGGACCGAAAATCCATCGGAAAATGGATCTGGCCCAGTATCCGGTATTGCCGCGGGGAAGTCCCGACGATCCACTGGCCGATCCCTTCGACGATCCTTCTTATAGCTTCAGTTTTCGCACTCCTGATCAGTCGCGCAGCGAGGAGAATGATTCGGGCAATAGGATAAGGGGTGAGTTGTTACCATCTAAGTCGGAGAATAACATTTAAGCCTGAAGTTAAATGAGAAAATAATAACGGCAACCAATCCTTTCTCTCTTCCAGGACTCTACTCCTATCTGGACGATGTGGGCGAGCGGCACAGTGTTCGATATGCAGCTGGAGCCGGAACTGGTTTCGAGATCTCCAATGCTGTGCCGGATAGCCCGTCCACCGTGGCCTACTCCAGTCCCCTGTACAAGTCGCATCCCAAGACGCGTGGCAAGATGTCCGTTCAAAGAGGTCCAGCTGGAAGCTATAAGCTGATTGCCTCTGGTCCGGATCACCGACGGGCAGAGAGCCGAGCTCCGGATGGCCTGGTACGGGGCACCTACTCCTTCCTGGACGACAAGGGCGTGCAGCGAACAGTGGAGTATATAGCAGGAGCAGGCATTGGCTATCGGGTGGTGCAGAATCGCATTGGTCCCGGGACACACATCAATCCCTCCGTGGCCGATTTCCGCCTGGCAGACCCCGATTTTCGACTAGCTAATGATTTTGGCAGGGGTGCAGGTGGGGGTTTGGGTCCCAAGGGAGGTGCTGGTGCGGCAGGTGGCTCGAGTGGTTCAGGGGGAGCAGCAGGATCAGCTGGTGGTGGTGCAGGCAGGGGTCGCACCCCAGGCAGACCCGGTGGCAAGGATTACCTGAAGCCAGCTGATGGCGGAAGAGTTAGGGATCAGGGTGCGGGAGATGCAGGGCCAGCGGATGAGGATCTCGGACCCGATGATGACAGCCAAGATGGTGACTCTGGGATTAGCACCAGTTCTAGTGGCTCCACTAACTTTGATAACAAAGAGGATCGAAGGGGATTCCCAGCAGGAAGTGCCCAACGGGGCAGCACCAGATATGATAGCGGAGGCAGTGGCTCACAGAGAGGAGGAGGTGGTTCCACTAGGACCAGTGTCAGTGGTTCCAGAGACAGAAACCAGTTCGGTGGAGGAGCAGGTGGAGGTAGTGGTGGTGGAGGAGCTGGTGGAGGAGCCAGTGGAGGTGGTGCCGCCGGAAGAGGACAAGGAAGGGGAGGAATAGCACGCGGGGGAAGCTCTCGCCGAGGGGGAGGGGGTGGAGGAAGCGGAGGAGGAGGGGGCGGGGGAAGTGCCGCCTCCAGCGAAGGCGACTCCGGCCTGGGCTACCTGCCGCCCACAGGTGGATCGGGCACCAGTGCCATCAGCGGACCCGGGGACAATTACCACCTCAACGATGACGACGTGGGCAGTTCCCTGCCGCCACTGGTCACTGCCAACCATCGCATCCTGGAGATCGATCGGGATCGGGAGTGGGTCCAGCGACATCGCGACTCCACCGTGATCAAGAACGTGGGCAAATGGTATGTGGGCCTGCCACCAGGCCAAAGTGTTCGTGCCCATGTCCAGAACATCGACATTGTGCCGCTGGGCGGAAGGATCGGTCTGTCGCCCTCGGAGGCACTGCGTCAGGATGAGATCGCCGAGCTGAATGCCTCCCGGGAGCACTAATCGGATACTCCCCTCCTCTGATTGGATCAGTAGTTCGTAGTGCCTAGCTCTAAGTGATCAGTGTTAAGTAACCGAAACTGGGTTGACTCCACATGGAAACTGTAACAGTATTTAAAGCGGAATACATTGAATGTCTATCTGTATTTATATCTGTATCTCTATCCAATAGTTATATGATATCCGTGGAGACTGACGGAGGCAGGTTGGTCTGCACATTGCGGTTTCCTTGGATCTCCATATAACCCCAAGTCTCTGCCTGGGCAGAGTTTAGTTGGTTTTGAGACTTAAAACGAGATGCTGCTGGCTTGGATTGGATTGCTGGGTGTTTCCTATGTTCAAGGAGCACAGGTCTATATGCACTTCAATGGCCTGGGCTACTCCTACAATACGGATGGCGATAGACTGGATAGGAGTGTCGTTTCCCCTTCCCTAGAATCCTTCAATCCCTCGCATTTTGTGCATCAGGCGCTCAGTACTCGGCAAAACCCACTTCCTAGGATCTCCTATAATACACAGGACAACCTGGGAACCTCATCGTTGAGCAGAGGTTATTATACAGCTCTTCCAAATCAACATAAGCCCGTGCAGAGCCACCAAAACTTCGATTTCACCACGGACCAGATGTCGCATGCCCAGCACACCGATGAGTCGGGAAATGTTTTGGGCAAGTACTCCTACTACGATGAGGCTGGCTACCACGAGCTGAGCTACAAGGCGGGCGCCGGCATCGGATTCGTGGTCATGGGTGGTAATTTGGCCAAGGCCACCACCACTCAACCCCACTCGGAACTCGAAATCGGAAACGGAATCCAAACAAATGCCTTGGCGAGCCTGCAAGAGTTGCATAAATATCGTGGCTACACGTAAATAAACAAATTAGCTGAACCACTGCTCGTTCTACTTGGGTGTTTTTTGTTATTTAGTGGCGGTATTTGCAGATCCGACAGTGTCAACTGTCAAGTCTGACATATACGTGATCGGGGAACCCAACTGCAGGTTCAAGAATGAATGGCTATTGAATAAGTGTTAGCTCATAGATTGACTAGGTAGTTTGCCTGGATATTTCATAAAAACTTGACCCTTGAGATATTTTGGATAGTCTCTTAACAGCAAACTCACATGTAATTGTTTAAAATTTGGGAAAACGTTTAAAATGGGTCAGAAATTAATTGGTTTAAAAAGCTTAGGTCTTTAGCTGTCCAAAGTACTGAGCAATCAGTTAACTTGATTTAAGTACAATAACTACTTTTTTTTAGTGGTTCTCTTCTGTTTTATAAATGGTCGGTAAGGATCATTTAGATAATAAATATACATAGAATCGCAATGGTCAAATATACTCAATTAATGGTAAAGTCGATTACTTTAGTTTCTGACCTGTTTTAAAAATATGTCTATAAGCTAAAATAATTTTTTACAATTAACATTTTTGCATGAAATAGATAAAGGTAAACATTGTCAGTTTCTGATCGTAAATGATTGTAAGAGCTTTAATTGTTTGTGGCGCGTGCTTTGGCCCGAGACAACTTGTACGATTTATGCATTTTATAAGGCCTAATTGATTTTCCGCTCATAAAAATGGTTATTTGGTCGGACAAAGTCATTTTACGAATGACCAGTGCATCCCAAAGCCAAATTGAGTCACCTCTGGCTTTTATTTATTTTTGTTTGGGTAATTTCTTGTCGGAAAGGGACCAAAATAATATAACGTTTGAAATGTTCGACGCGTGCGCGCACTTGCCAAATAATTTGAATCGAACGGAAAGCCTTGGCGTCCACATCGTGGCCTAAATAAAATATATTTCTGTCCCGCCGAAACAAAGAAAAGCCCAAATGCGCTAATAATATGCATATTTGCCAAAACAAAATAAAAATTATTACAGAGGCGGGTTTAAGCGAAAGTTTCAGTGCCACAATTAAAATTGATGTCAAGAGATCTAAGCGGTTAATTTCCCTGAAACAAGTTCCTCTACGCACTCCAAAACTTTCTTCGGCGAATGCACAAAAAGAATGTACAGAAAAACACTAAAAAGCTTGCCACTGACATAGATTCTATTTGGACGAGTCTAGGGTTTTTGTGTGGCCACGTTCTCAGCGGCGGAATCAATGGCTCAGCTGGGAAATAGCCGCGGTGCATAATTGGGTTAGCATAACAGCGGAAAGGCTGGCTGGCTGGCTGGTTGCAATGGAACCTCCAATTACTGCGGCTCTGGCTGTCCCAGGTGCCAGTTAGCCGTTCTTTTCTCCCCCCTCAACACACATAAACAACGGTTTGGTTGGGACTCCACTCCAAGCCACCTCATCCGAAGGTCAAACTTAATTGGCCCAGGCCTAGGCAACGACATCCCACTAGCAGTCCCGTTTGCCTGCATTTATAAATAGGCCCCAAGGTCTCTGGGTCTCTTAAACTCCTCGGCTCGCTCCTCTGTTTGGCTTTCTGGTTGGGTTCGATTTATCGCCTTTTGATTGCTGCATTCCAATTGTGCGGATCAATTGGTGCGTGTGGCGCATTCGGGGTTTACAACGTGTTGCTGCTAATTTCGTATGCTCCCTTCGGCGCTGTGCAGTCGAAACCATAAATCTTGTGGCAATTTTATTGATGCCTGCGTGTGCCACAAAGGTCGACCCCCAGTACGATCCTGGTTAATCAAGAAATATGCATTATTATTGCCTGCACAGTGATTTGACTGTGGTTCGAAATCAGTAGCTGGCTTGTTGGGGCATAAAAACCCATAAAAGTATAAATTGCAGCCAGCAAATTGATGGTTCTGGGCTAATAAAGACCCTGTTCGGCGAAGAAAACAAATGACTTAGAGCACGAACTCGGAAAGGAAATCAATTCCCCTGATTCAAGACATTCGTGATTTATGATTACCCATCAGAAATGGCCCTGGGCTAAGCCTTAATCCTGACATCTGTTGATACCCGAGAAGTGTGTGAACTCTTCACGCCAAATTGGTTGTCAAGTCAGAAAAGGAACACGATTCTCTGTGCGAAACTTTCTAACGAGTTCCAGGCAAACATTTTAATTGAATTGCCCAACATCGAACCGATTCATTCATCAGCGTTCAAGCGTGTCTTAAGTCTCTTACCATTTTGGCTTATGTCATGTTGGGGCCCGTTCCAAGCTGATTACCTCTCCACTTCCCACACGCATTTCGCTTCTATTCTCGTGGCTCACTCCACTTGTAATGGCCAGACACTTCGCCTTTTTCCAGCCGAGAGTCACACTCAATCAAGCCAATAAACGGCCAATTAATCAAAGTCAGCGCTGTGGTTCTGGGTTCTGAGTTTTAGCTAGGTGCTAGGTGCGAAACAGTAGCCCGCAGAAGACCCTGTCCGCTGACAACTAACCAATTTCTGACGAAATGTGCGAGTTAGGCAAACTATTTGCTTAGCCACGGGGGCGGGGTGATTTCAATCTACGAAATCCTAGAGTTGGAAGCCTGCATATCAATTGGAGTTCGGCCTGGAGCCGGTACCCAAATCCCACAGATCCACGCCCCCAGATAAAAGCCAGGCCAAGGCGCTCGACTACGTGCCCAACTCTCTCGCGTTTTCTCTTCGGCCCTCTCTTTTATACTACCAAAAACCCAATTCTCTTACACCTGATCGGGCCCTGTTTTCTTGGCCATTTCTTTCGCTTCGTCGTTTGCATCGCTAATGGAAATGTTATAAACAGACGCGCTGGGCCCGGCCAGCACTCAGTTCATCTTCAGTCGTCGTCTGGCTAGCTGGCTCTTGGTTCTTGGTAGGAGGTGTGTGTCCAGGCCCAGTTCCAGTCCCTATTTAATGTGTGTGTGACAAAAAAAAAGAAGAAACAAAAGAACTCAGACCTGAAACAATCGTAAATTGAAAGCTCAACAGGATTGGCTTTTAGTGCAACCGTGTCTGTGATATTGCCGCGTGATAACCCAGAGTGTCACTCATCCCGTTTCTCGTTCCCAGTTCAAGGATATATTGTCAAGGCGAGGATTGGTCAACCGACGCATCGACAGGAATTTAGCAAGAAAAAATAAGAAACTATTCACCAGAATTCGGCATTAAAATGCGCTTAATTATTGTAAGTAAAACCATAAGCCAAAAAATAAAATTAATTCTTAAGACCCGTCCCTTTTTTTGGGAATAAGAAACGAAACTAGTTTATACCTGACCGCAATTAATCATTTATTGCTCTGTGCCGCCGTTGAACTCATTAACTCGTCAACTGGCCCAAGTTCGTGCCTTGAGTCTTTCGTTTCTTTCACTTCTGAATTGAAATGAACTTTCACTAAGCGACATTTTTGGTTCTTACCTCGATTCTTGGCTTTTTCTGGTCGCGAAAATTAGCCTTAATTATGTTCTGTGCCATATGCAAATATTATTTAAGTGGTTAAAATCTTTTTTTGGCATTTTAATAATCAGAAATCAATTTGAATGTTAAGAGCTTAAATGGGATTATTTTTTTTTGTATTTAAATTAGTCAGAAGTTCTTTATTGTAAGTTATTGTTTCCTTTTGAAAAGCGTTTTTCAAAAGATATAATCCCTACTGGAAAGTGAAAACCTTTTTTCATTTTATCAGAACGTGACAATATTCTAGCCCCTCCCCAATGAAAAAGTGAGAATGAATCATTTATATTCCTGGCCATATTATCCCTTGCATTATTCATAATCCCATTAAGAGAAGCACGCCCTTAAAAGTCTAAACTCGTCAGCGCCGTGCTCATAAGGAACAATACCATTCAATTATAACCATAACCAGTACAAACACTTCCAATGAAAAGCCCAAAAATTAATTATGACTCGAGGAACATAAAATTAATATGCCACAAACGTAAGAAAATCATGCGTGGGCTAACAAATGCCAATAAAAGTCTTCTTTCTATTCCAAACAATCGAACAGACTTGTGTTGGGGTGCTTAAAGAACTTCAGAGCCATAAAATAGAAGTGCATTGGTTTCTTTTCGAGTCTGTGATAGTGGTTCATAAATTAATCAATTTATGAGTATCGAATGTTAAACCACACGTCCCAGCCCTGAAGACCATCAATCTCCGCTCAATTAGCTCCATCCGAATGTCGCTGGAATAACATTTGAAGTCAATCGACACCTGAGCGGATAAGAGGAACAGGAGACGGACCCATTTACATCTTGTTTGAGAACATAAAATGCTGCGCTTAAACTTTGCATTCAAGCCATTAACCCAGTTTATTTTTGGACAAGACACACCCGATACGGGATGAGGTTTCGTTATGGGCGAGCAATATAGTAAACAGGGCAATACCCATAAAAGAAAGCAGACAGAAATACATCTCGGGGATGCAAGAAATCTTGCAAATCAATGGCAACCAGGTTCGACAGCCTCTCATGGCCAGAGAACCTCTTTCGAGTTACGCTTTGGCCCGAAATCGTAACAGACGCCTAGAGGTTCAGGTCAATGACACAACACGAGCCCCGACTTCAGCTCGAATCCCGCTTCTGACTCCAACCTCAGTGTGGGGCTCAGTTCCTCTCGGCTTAGTGACATTTCGGCACTGATAGATGGGCGTGCGGGCTGGTCGTTCTTTCCACCGGCTAACGGTTGCGTCAATATTGACTTTGCCAAAGATGTGGAGAGCCGGCGAGAGTGAGTCAAATATTTGCCGATCGTGAGGTTCTCGACAATCATGTTCGAGGGAAAATCCACTGAGTACTTCAGCTGCGGGCTCTCACTTTTCGACTTAGCTCTGAGTTTCACGATAAATTATGCAAATGCGCTGGAGGAGCTGGTAGAAAGACTTTCGCGAGGGACTTGGCCGCATTCTTGTTATTTTTTTGTATCTATTACGACATCGGAATACCGAGAAGCGTATCTAAGCCAATCGTAAATCACTAACCTGTTGTCACCCATTTATCTTCCAGCTATCGACACTGCTTCTGGCCTCATTGGCTGTGAGCCAGGCCCAAAGTCACGGTGGACTGGCCGTCGAGTAAGTAGCCTAGTACCTAGTTACCCAGTCCTAAGACCCCATTAACAGAAATGCCTTGCCTGCCAACGTCAACGCTAATGCTCATTCCAAGTAGAAGTTGATGCGCTCGCCTAGAACTTTGTGACTAAACCCAAAAGCCCTGACTTGTGACTAACCCCGAAACTCATTGCCCCCCCCGCCACACACATTCCCCTTACCCTGCATTAGCCACTAGAAGCTAAGACCACCAAACAAAACCCACTTTCGTTTGCAGAATTCAGAAGCAGCGGCTGGTCAAATTTCCCGAGGAGTTTGAGCCTAATGCGGCGCCTCCGTCCTCGGAAAAGGCGGACGAGGCCAAGCGCATCCTCGAGCAGATAGCCAAGGTCAACGAGGCCTTTGGCTACGTGAAGAAGCAGCCGGAGCAGCCCAAGCTGCCGCCGATCCTCGACTCCAGTCAGTATCTGTTCCCAAAGCCCGCCCATCAGCCCTTCCATGCCCATCAGCACCACTTTTCGGGGAGTAATGGTCAGACCCTACTAGAACCCTCGATTCGGGCGGTGAAACTCACCAGGAATGTGGCGGCAGGGAGCTACAATCTGCCCCCCAGATTGCGCCAGGCAGTTGGTGGCCCTTCCCAGGAGGAGAAGAAAACCCAGCTGTACTTCCGACCCAACCAGGTGGAGGTGCCCAAGCCCAGTTCCGAGCAAGAAGCTCAACAACTGCCCGCTCACTTCGTGATACCCGTGCACCTGTACAAACTCAACAAGGAGGAGTATCTCAAGGAACACGCCTCGCAGGAGTATAAGGTCAAGGGATACAAGATCATTGGCGATGTGGACAGCTTTTATGGCAAGGCGAAGGCCGGAAGAAAACAGGGCAAGACGACGCCCAAGTATCATCTGTTCTTCCTGCCCCGAGAACTGGCCCTCAACGAAGATGGCACTCCCAAGAGGGGAAATGGCACCACCATTGGCAGCACCACCACCACCACCAAGTCACCTGCTCCTGTGAACTTCAAGGAATACCGCTTGGACTCCCGCGAGAAGCCTGTACATAAGCCACAAAAGATGCAGCCCAGTTTGGCACCAGAATTGATCAACCTGAATACTGTGAACAGGAAAAGGGTTAGCTCTACGGCGAAACCTGTGCGTTTGAGTGGAAAGGAAGCTGAACAGACTTCCCCCTCCTTAAACATCAAGGCTACATCTGCTCCAGTGTCCATAAGCTCCACTTTGCCACCTTCTGGTGGCTTGATGCCCAATCGGAATCGCTTGAATCCTTTCCGCATGCCCGGAATGAATATCGCTGAGATGCAGAACCAAACCTCGACGGCCATCAAGAATGCCTTCCAGAACATATTCAAGCTGCCCTTCCGACCTCCCATGGCAGCTTCAACTGGAGAAGGTCCCGTAATCCTGGGCAATGTTCCCGTGAAGAACCAAGCCTTGGATTCTGCGGACTACAAGTGGGATGATGAGAGCGAGGGCGCCGGCGATGGGATGTCAGATGATGTGGATACCGTAGAGAACACGGCTGCCGAGCTGGACAACAGTGCGTCCTCGGAGAAGCACCTGTTCGCCCATAAGACCCACCACCTGATGCACACCCTGGGCCAGGTGGCCACCGCCCAGCAGAGCACCCAGAAGCAGGCGTTGCGCGAAGGCGGGATCATCATTCAGCGGTTGAAGGTGCGCAGGGGCGGCATCGCGATCGCAGGGCCCGGGGGCGTGGCCACGGCTGGCAGTGGTGGCACTGCAATTGTGGGTCCCGGGGGCTATGCCCTCACCCATCCACGCAGTCTCACCATTGCCGGTCCGGGGGCCAAGGTCATATCCATCCCAGCGAATGTGGACCTGAAGGACGCACTGGCACGCACCGATCTGCAGACGAGGAGTTTTCCGCGCGAGGGGAAGATTGTGGCCACGGGACCCACGGTCTACTATGCCCCGCCCACGGGCACAACGACACTGGAGGAGCAGGAGGAAGGGGATCAGGGGGCGGGACTGGAGGCGGGCCAGTTCGAGTCTGAGTCTGAGGCTTAACCCTAATAGCTATTAATTAGCACTTTTAGTTAGGTTCCATAGTTGGTATTGTCTAGTGTTCTAATAAATGTTTGTATTTCGTAAATGTTTGGGCTTTTGCTTTCATTCGTATAAACTGTACATGGTAGTTATAGACGATAACCCTCACTTATCCCAGCATGCCATTAACCCGACACAGATCTAACCCCTCGAAATGATGCTGTAAATATGTAATCAGACTAACCGGCGGCTCTCTCCACCATTTTCCCCCCATATGCTATCCTAAACTATGCTATCCTAACCCAAGTGCCTACTGGCGCACCACCAACGTCGAGGCGTGGCCACCGGGGCAGCCGGTCGCCGAGAAGTCCGGAAAACTGGTGGCAGGACCTGCTCCCGCCCAGGACCTCACCCCCTACGGAGCCTACCAACCCGTGCTGCTAAATGCGCCCTACTACGCCGCTTACCATCTGCCCCCCTTGGCATACGTGTTGCAACCCACCACCAGTGCCGCTCAAACCACCTCAGCCAGTGCCACAACCACCACCACGACGACCTCCGCACCAGAAAGCTTAGCCGATGACAGCTCCAGCGAGATCGAAAAGCCGGAAAAGCTACAGGCTCTGCCTGCAGAGAAGACACGAACCACTGGCGATCTAAAGAGCGATTTGGGTCTCCGCTCAGCGGTTAGCAAGATAAACCCAGACTATGTGATCGAAGAGATTGTGCCCATTCCCGGCAAGCTGGTGATCTCCACTTCTGGGTCACATCGCGCTGCCAAGCAGCAATTGAAGAAGATTGCCCCCCAGAAGCTGAGAAAGCAGTCGGGTGGAAGAGTTTCCGTTGCCCCCAAAGTGGAGGCCACTGGCAAGACCAGCACCAGTTCGGCCAACTTCCCGCAGATCCCCTTCGGCAACTACTTCCTGCCCTACAGACCGGAACAGGCGCAGGCCATTCAGGGACGCAAGCAGGCGGCTCTCATCCTGGAACCCCATTCCAAGGCGGTGGTGGGAAATGGTGGCACGGCCATATCCACGCCCATTTCCAAGGCGTATCTGAAGAAGGGTGTGCCCACCAATGTGTACTTCAATCCGGAGTCGGTGGCCATTGCGGGTGTGGGTGGCAAGGCGCATGCCACCGCGGATCTGGAACTGGATTTGTTCACGTAAAGGACGCTGCAAGGAGGCCAACTAAGTTAAATATAGACCCACCTTCTTAAACCGATTTCATAGTTGAGTTTTGCTAAGTTTAATTTGGACAATCAAATCTATAAGTGATTTAAAAATCAACTAACTAATTGGTTTACTAAGGTGTGTCTTTCAAAATAGTGTATGCAACTGAAGCTGAATGGTAGTTCCTTTTACCAGTTTCTCCATGTTCCTATGTTAAGAACAGAGGCCTATAAAAATGTGTCATTCCCTAGACTGTAAATAAAGTTAAATGTAGCAAACTGTACAGCTTCCGCCTTGGGTCACCGAGTAGTCCGCTAATCCCATGTAGATATCCCGATGCTTTTCCAACGCTTTCTCCAGGCACCACCAACTCCAACTCCCAACACTTCCAAAAACACACCCAACACACGATCTATAACCAAATCTAACCCCAACAAGCAGACACAGATCGAGGGCGGCTCCGCTGGTCTTCGAGGAGCATCCGTACTATGGAGGATTGAGGGGTCAGCTCCTCCAGCTGCGTCCGCAGCGGGACGGAAGTTTGGGCAGCTTCATCCTGCAGCGCCAGCAGCCGCAGGTGAGGGCTGTTCCCAGGGATGCCGATGACACCATCACCATCTCGGCAGCCAGTATATCGGCCATCGCAGATGGCAGTGGAGCTGGTAGTACCTCCGCCAGCTCGATCTCGGCCAGCGCCAGTGACTTCAACCGGATCCAGTTGGCCGCCGCTCGTTTGGTGGCCATCCAGGAGTTGGCCAAGCGCAAGGGTTCCTTCAGCGAGGAGGACAACAAGGTCTATGCCAGCAGCCTTCTCGAGCTTGGACAGGCTGCTCAGAGTTTGGCCCTGCTCCAGCAAACCGGACAGATCAAGGACTTCAGTGTCCTGTTGCAGCCGGATATGTTCGGCAATCCCCAAAAGCAGCCATCGAACTTTGGCCTGGAGGCCACCAACAATCCGGCAGACCAGAAGATCGACGAACAGAAACTGGACGAGGTAACCGAGCAGCAGTTCTCCCCGGACGAGCAGTTCCTGCCCCCCAACAACGAGGATCCCTACGAGGATGTCAACGATAGCGTTTCGGTGATGGCTCCCAAGAAAGATGCCGCCGTGGCAGAAGCAAAACCAGTGGGTAAGTAGTCTAAATTAACCATTTACGTAGGTAATGATTGCTTAATTTCAACTGTGGTATCCTTTTAGGTCTCTCCATTGCCGGTGAAGGTGGAGTGGCCTCCTCCAAGCCAAATGCCGTGGCTCTTTCCGGCCGAAATGGCTTGGCCGTGGCCTCGCCCAAGGCCACAGCCATCGCTGGGGTTTCTCCCGAGGAGGCGGCCGCCTTCAGCATCTCGCTGCCCACTCGCAACCAACTGGTGATCAAGAGTCCCAATCTGGCGGCGGAGAAGGCCAGCGATGACTATGACTACAACGATGTGCCCCTGAACCTGGCCCGATTCCCATTGACCCGGGAAACCCCGCAGCAGCTCGTCCCGGTTCGCTTTGGAGGAGGGGATTCCCTGGTGGAAAGATGGCGCACCGCCATCGCAGAGGATTACGCCGCCCGACAGGCTCAGGTTAAGGTGGCCATGGCGCCTCCAACACCCTTCATTCGCATGGCCCCCAAACGACGCCTCCACTCCGAATAGAAGTAGAATGCTGACCAAATCGGATTGCACTTGATCGCATTAAGATTTATAGTATACGTATACGTATACGTTGTACAACATTTTGTGTGCCAGCTCCCGAATTGCCAATAAAATTTGCCTATTTAAATGAATTTATTTGCGTCCATTTTCAATGATTTATTTGTGAGTTAATGGATAAGTTTTATTTCATGCTTTGTTTGCTTGACTTACATAAATATTAATTTGCATAAAGGTTTTCTTTAGTTTGATAAATATCATTAATAAGCTAAGTCGCGAACTACAGCCAATACAGATTAATGTTTGCAGTATTAAAGAGTCCTTAAAACATCGATATTTTTATGGAAGCTTTAATAACGAAAATTAACCAATGTAATGGTTTGACAGACAATTACCAGTTTGTAGTAATTGTACACTTAGGGATCGTTAGGAACCCCTAATTATTCAGTCTGAAAAAGGCACATAACTACATTTCTAAGCAAGGCAAAAGGCCATTGAACTGGAAATTTCTATACCCTGCCATCGGGCGTAGGAATCAAAGACTACATATGAATTCAAGATCGGACAAGATCATATAAAGACGGTGACAGAGAGCCAGGGCGACGCATCTAATTGCTGCGGGAAGTGATTACAGTTTATAACGAAAATACATTTATTTATGCGATTGTGCACAGCGAAAATCTCAGGCGGACTGAATGCAAGCATGTGCAAATCTTGATTAATCTTTTCCGCCAGGGCAGGCAACATGGAAATAAATTATCTAAGCGGGCAGCGGATGGAGAGGTGGCAGGAAAGAAGGCCTAGGCTTTCAATTTGCACCTGAACCAGTTGCCTCCATCCACATCCACATCCACAATACCTTTTGGCCGTCAATGCGGCTTCAATGCGATCGCCCATGCCATGCTTGACTTCTATTACGCGGCAGGTTTAACAAACCTGAGAGCCTCAGAACTTGGCCGAGACCAAGACCGCATCTCATTCTCCATCGCCATTGCCATCTCCGTTGACCATCTGCCATCTGCAAGCGAACCTGAAACCAGAAAGTATCTGCAGGCTCCTTTCGGCCATCGAGTGCCCCCTCTCCGCTTTTCCCCCTGGCTTTTCCTGCGGGAAGCTGGGCACTACCAGTTCTATCAGTTCTTCAGCTCTTTGTTCTTGGCCCAGGTCAGGGTAAGGGGTCTGTGGCCGCACATTATAAAAGGCCATGGCCGGGCTGCGTTGGCCACCAGTTTCCTTGAAGTGGTCGCCGTGCTAACACTGAAGACTGAGCCCTGCCTCACTGCCATTGTGTTCAGACTGACTAGTGATAATTTAGATTCTTCTTGAGCGGATTGCGGATTGTGTGGCCAACAGAGTACTCAACCCACTACCTGCATAGACTTGGGAAAGCAGTGAAAGGCCATCAAACTACTAAAAGGTAAGTCTCTCCCCCAATTGGGGTTATTAATTTCCCATTTACCCTCGTCTCGGCAACGAGAAAGTTATGATTAGGCTTAGTTCTGATAGAATGCTTACAACGATCTGGTTTTGCTAAGCTCTTAAATCCCTTTTATGGGGTCACAATAGAACAGCGTCATTAAGCTAGTGAGCTAGACAGTTCTTCAAGCCATTAAATCATTTAAAGAAAGTAAAAACATTCGTTAGTAAAACATACAGCCCAGTAAAGAATTTTTTTTGTGTAATGGTACTATGTAAATAATAATGTTGATTTGCTTTTCAAATAATTGAATATAACAAATGTGTTCAGTTTAACTTCAAGAAAAAATACATAACAAGAGAATAAGAAGACAACTTATTATCATTTTTATTAAAATAAAGTGCTTAAAATATAAATTTTTAATACAAGTTTTGTTAAACTTATTTAAGTTTTGAAAATTTATTTATACACTTTTGGTTTAAAAACCAGAATGAAAATTATTTAGAATTTATTTGTATTTAGTTATTCTTTTAAAGGCTTAAAACATAAAGTATTGAAAATCTGAACTTATAAAAGATGGCCCAAAATATATTTATAAAGATTATTTTAAGACTTGACCATAATAACATCACCTAAATCTTAACTGACAAGCAGAAAGGTCATTAAACAAGTGTAATAAAATAATGTATGTTAAATGTAATATGGTAGTATAATTTTAAAATATATATTGAATTACCAATATATTAAGCTTATAGATAATAATGAATACGATTAAAGTAACTCGACACATTTCCAATTTTAAAGCTATTCTCCAGGTCCAACGTTTATTGTCCTTACCTACCAACAAAAGACTTACGCAACGAACTTGGGCCACACAAAGAACATTTTTCGAGGGGTGGGAAGGGGACCGACAAACTTGACTATCAAGTACCGATTTAAGCCATAAAGCTGCTTCCAGTCATTAGCTAGTATCTACACTAGAAGTGCTTGGCGAAGAAGTTCCATTGGCCTGGCCAATCAATTGCAAACCGGTTGATAGTCTCTCGATCCATGTACGTACGAGGAGCATCCTGTCTGACCAGGCAACATGCAACATGCAATTACACACGGACACACACAGCCGCGCAGAATAACGTTAAATTTAGAATGGACTTTGGTTAAAGAGTGGCAGGAGAGTGGCTAAAAATAGCCCCTCGACTAGACCCGTTTGCAGCACTTGGGGCAAGGAGATAATGTTATACAGTTGATGTTCGTGAACTTCCCTAAATCGAACTTTGTATAGCTACAGGTCCCTATTAAAAACATTCTCGAAGTTGAATTAAGACCATATTATTTTAACGCTAAGGGCGCAACTCTTCGTTTAGTTAATTTAAATAACCCTAGAATGTTTAAAGGTATTCATGAAAACCAAATAATCAATAAAGTTTGAGGGAAAAAATTTGAATTGATTAAAAAATATTCTTAAAAGATGAACAAACGGTATAAGGCTACATTTAGGACAAAACGAAATGTTTTTCGTTAAATTTGGAACCTTTTTTGTGAGCGTGTTTCTGAGAAATGAAAAATTCCTATTTTTGCTTAAAAACATTGATTAAGAACAATTTATTTTACTTCCAAAAACCGATTTATATATTTTATGAAATAGTCTTATAATTAATGACTGAAAGATTAATGTATCATGTCTGCGAGGTTAGTACCAGCAACTTTCATTATTAGCTTTGAAATAAACCTATCAAAAGCGGTTACTTAAAAAATCTTTTTTTTTTAATTTTTATTATTAATTTATTTTTAATTTTATTATTTTTGTATTTTTACTTTGCTTGATCCCATATGATCGCTCTATATCCTTTTAACCTCCTTTTGCAGAATGTTCCTCCTAGCGGCCTTTTGCCTGGCCCTGACGGCGATGGGTGGCCAGGCCAGGCCTCTGGAGCCCACGGCCCAGCACATCGTGATCGTGACCCCGCAGGCGCAGGTCCACCTGGAGCCGGCCCTCCGCTACGTCCACGGACTGTCGCCTTTGGCCCGCGTGTCCTCGCCGCACCACCACGAGGAGACCATTGTGTATGTGCCGGCTGGAGCTGCGGCCCAGGTGGTGCCGGTGGTGGACGCCATTGGATCTGGCCGTGCTGGCGGTGCGCCGGAGACCAAGCAGTGGGAGAACACGGGCGAGATCGCCAACCAGATCCAGCAGGTGTCCCAGCAGGGCGTCGAGATCGTGAGCGGCCAGTTGAGCGAGGCGGCCTCATCCGCCGCATCTGCCGGAGCGGGCTTCTTCCCCTCCCTGTTCCCGCCCAGCGGCTCCAAGAAGGAGGAGCAACTGCTGCAGGGCCTGAAGAGCGAGAAGATTGAGCTGATCGAGACGCCGGCCAACACCCAGCCACTGATTGCCACCGAGGCCCGGCACTTCTACAGCATTCCCCAGGTCTATCACACCCCAGTGGTGGATGTGGTGCATGGCCCCGTCTACACCTGGCCCATTTCCGCCATCCGGGCACGCAGCATCCAGCAGGAACCGGAACCGGAGCTGGTGGCCACCGATCCTGGCCTGAAACTGACCCTGAAGGCTGAGCCACAGGCGGAGATCCAACCGGAGACCTTGTTGAAGGAACAGCCCCTGTTGAAGGAGCAGCAGCAGCTGCAGCCACTGCTGAAGGACAAGCTGCAGCCACAGCCACTGCTGAAGGAGCAGATCCCGGAGCAGGCTGTCCAGGAGCAGCAGAAGCCCATCATTGCCGAGGCCAGTGAGCAGAAGTCCGAGTTCGCGGGACGTCTGCTGGAGAGCAATGCCATAAAGCAGGAGCTCAAGGGTGCCGAGATCGCCAAGGAGCAGTTGAAGGAGGATCGTAAGTCCCTATTTTATTATAATACATGAAACCAAATTACAATTTCAACCATGTTCTATCCCCACAGCAGCCAAGATTCAGCAGCAGGAGGAGCTGATCAAGGCCATTCAGCCAGAGCCGCTGACCAAAACCATCCAGGCTGAGCCGCTGACCAAGACCATTCCCGCGGAGGCCATCCAGGCCGAGCAGCCGAAGCAGCAGGAGATCCAGAAGCCGGCCGAGATCGCCGTCGATGCCATTGAGCCGCAGGCCTAAGGCCCCGGCCCGGAACCAGAACTCATCTCTGAATCTCACTCATCCCCTGGGCAGCTTTGGTTCTCCGACTGATTCTCATCGCTGGCCCGGCACACAAGATGACCGGGTCACGGGGTTCACCCTTATCCAGCAACCACCGACACCAACACCAACACCACCACCCACCATCCGTACATTTAGTTACTAACACAGAACACACGCATCCGCACACATTTTCCATTTTCCAGACATTAATTAACAGAAGCGAAACGAGAAAGAGACATTCATTCATAATTATCATCACGAAGCGTTCGTATTCATCATCATCATTACATATTCATTAACCATAACATTGAAAACGTAAAACAGAACAATAAAAAAGTGAATGTAAAATGTAGAAATGAGGGAGTGGAAATTCTAATTGGGAGGGGATATGTGGGAAAATTTTGAAATGTCTGGAAACCTCTTTTTTCTCTGAAGAAAGTAACCTTTCGTTGATGCTGAAACGGTTTTTTATATTCCCCTTGATTGACATATATATTTCAAGTTAAATGCTTTTTATCATGTGAATATTATCTTTTCCTCTTTGTGAATCTGATACATTTTTTTTTTGATTTTCTCACATTTATTAAAACATGGAATATTGGCATTTTACCTACGATTACGTAATGACAGTGACCCTCAAATAATCCGGTGAGCTTCTTGCGTAGGCAAATTCCCCGGCAGCATAAAAATATTGCAACTATTACACGGTCGGGTAAATAAAATCATACATTTTGCCCGATCCACAACGCTGCATACAAATTAACCCGAAAACGTGCCCAGATATTTGCGAATGAGGGTGAAAAATATACAAAAACTATTTTGGGTACGGCACTTTTATTAACTTACATAGCTATGGGAATAAATATGCAATAAATAGGGCGACGAATACGGCTGAGATTAGTCCGCATCATCTCCAACTGTAATGTAGGCATCCTGATCTCCTACGACAATCAGTTCGTCTTCCTCCTCCGCTTTTAAAGTAGTTGAGTCCAGAGATTCCTCCGCCGGTTTGGTGGTGAGTTCAATTCGCTGTAGTGGCTTACTGGTATCCGTGTATCGATAAACCGAAAAGTACGTTTGAATGCGTTGTATGATATTCTCCAATATCGGGGGAAACTTGTGCTCCACTCCATCTCCATAGATCTTAAAGTCCAATCTGGTTTCGCCAGCATTCTCGGAAATCTTCGAGGGATTGAGCTTAAGGGCCTGAAGAACTCCGCGAAGCATTAGTAGGTTCTGTAGATCACTGCCACTCTGATTGGGAGGCCTTCTAAGGATAAGTGAACCATTGGGCTTGACCTCCAGATATCCAAATTTCTCCGTATCCGAGGGCAATGCCTGATTCGATTCAACGCCGTTTTTGATCACGATCAGCGGGAGAATGGCCGCCTGGAGGGCAGTGGCGATCAGCCCCAATCCCAGCGTGAGATAGATGAAGTGCATCTCGGATGGTGGAGGTTTCATTGGAGATCCGCTCTGGCCCTGCTCTGCGGTTGCACTAATTTCGACTTCGCCTTGGCCAACGAACTTATTCCGACTGCTGCGCTTTTTCTCCACATTTTACCAATTTTTTGTACGCATTTTAAGTGTAATTGAGTGCTGTTTGTATTTACCTTTGTTCGGTTTGGTTAGGCGTTTAACTTGGCTTGGCACATGGCCAATAAGTTTGAGACGTGCCCTGAGCACTCGCTGCGCTTTGGCTTTGAGTTGTTTTTACTGTTTGAGTTACTTATTTGCATTTGTTTGTCAATTTTTCTGTTATATTATTCTTCAACTGGCCCACAAAGCGAGGTGTATTGCCAATATCGACTGGGCTATCGTGCAGTGAAAGTGTTATATTCCCTGGAACAGATGAAAAGGGTTCACACTGACTCACTATATACGTACTTACGAATCTTACCTTGGAGTGAAATTATCATTTAACGAGCGAACTACGGCAAACCTAAGTTTTAATACCCTTGCAGTAAATTGATGATAACGTTAACCGCGCGGAAAATCTTAACTGTGAGATAAAAACATTTATAAGACAAAAACAGCGAAAAAATAAAATAATCTTCAGAAACAGCAAATTAAAAAAGTTTGACCTCTGATTGCGTTACAAACTTTTGACCTAAATAATAATACTCCGTGCAAGAGTATAAAAAAGAAAACCATTAAAACATATTTTTATCGCTAAAATCCCGAAAAAATCAACTCCAGTTTCAGATTTTCAAACAAAACCCTGGAAACTAATGCTTAAATGTTGGAAAGCCATACCTTGTTAAATTCGTCGTAAAATTTCCAATCTAGTGGCATTTACAGCTAAAATATTTTATTTCAGTCGATTTTTCCCAAAAAATGATAATGTAACCCTTTGCGGAAAATGCCGAAATCGGGAGATCCCGAGAAATCAACTTTTTCTTCGGTTTTTTGATGAAAACAGGAAGTAGTAGTCAAAAGTTGGAATATCACAGCAAAAAAATTTCATTTTGTCCGATCCAAAAATTGCTAATGTAACCCCTTATGAAAAATGCCGAAATCTGGAGATCAACTTTTACTTTGGTTTTGATCAAAACCCTGGCAAATAGTGGTCAAATGTCAAAGCTCACCATTGACTCAATAAACAATATTTTAAAACAATTGTATCTACTTTTTTATTTGTTTTACAATCGTTTAATTCTAAGCCCCAAAGATAAACATGGTAACTGTTATTTGAAGACCAAATCCTTTTTGGAGAATGTCAAGCGAAGCTCAAATAATATATCAAAGATGAATATCTTTGTTTTTATATTCTAGATATATTCCCCTAAATACTTGTTAATAAGTATAAAAGCTTAAGATTTTAAAGCAATTATAGCTACTGTTTTTTGTATGTTTTTGTTTTACAATATATAAATTCTGAGCCCCAAAGATAGACCTGTTAACTGTTTTTTTAAAGACCAAAGCAAATTATATGAGAATGTTAAGCGAAGCTCAAACCTTTTAATTATCTTTATCGGCCAATCTGGCAACACTCACAAGACACCTGGCATACCTGGTCACCCAAAAAACGTTAGCCAACATTTTAAAGTTACAAATTTGAAACAATTTGATTTAAAATAAAAAACTGTTTGTATTATTGAAGTTTCTCCTGAATTCTTTCTTGTCTGTTTAATTAACTCTAGATATAGACTTTGTTTTCAAAACCCCCTATCAAAACAAACAAATTTCGTTGATAATTTATTAATTTATTTAGATTGAATTTCATTAAATAGTTAAGGACATTGATATAATGTTGTGTCGCAATTATCATTATTATTTGTGTGTGTGTGTGGTGTGTGTATTTAGTGCTTCAAGTAAGCGGAGTCTCTAACAAATGTAGAAGGACCAAAGTATCGAAACGAATATAATATAAACTAAAAAATTAAATTGCTAGGACTTGTGTCTGTGTGCGTGTGTGTTGTTTCTGTTTCTGTTTAATAAACATACAATACATATCAAACATAAATCATGTGTGGTTTTTAATACAATAGAACTGTTTAGAACTGAAACCTGCGGCTAGGAAACTTTCATCGCATTCGGCTTGCTCGTCGCAATGTTAAAACTTAAAATAAATAAATAAACATACATTTTTCAATGTGGCAACAATAGTTACAATTGGTTCAGTATTTCATATTGATTTTTTTGGGTTTTTTCCATTTTTTTTGTTGTTTGTTTAGTGATTTTGATTTCGTTCTGAAATGCAATTACAAATAATAAGTTTCTATACAATCTGATGTGCTGGTCTATCCGAGTGAAGACAAAGCAAAGCTATCATAGACTTTAGCTAACTCTATCGACTTGAAGTTTTACAAAATTTGATTTGCTTTTGATTTAGTAGGACTCATCTCATCTCCTGGCTCATCTAATTTCTCTCGTATCTAATGTAAGTATAAGGCATTATCTTCTCTTGTATATCGTTTTAATACATGTGTATATATATATTCCTCATCATCGTTTTCCACTTGTATCCCTCTGATTTGATCCATAATTTCGTTGAATTTGTTTATGGCTAATTTAAGCTTGCTCCTCCACAGCTTATCCAACTCCACCTCTATCTCCTCCTCCTGACTCGACGCAGATGGCTTACATCAGCTTCTGCTTGGCACAATCGGGGCACAGGATGTCGGGTCCGTCGGTGATGAAGCCACGACCCACTAGACTGGCCTTGCAGCTGGCACACACGAAGCAGTCGTGGTGCCAGTGGCGATCCTCAAACGAGATGAAGCGTGTGCCGCCAATTCCTGGTGTTTGAAAAGGGGTACATTTAATCAGATTGGGTTGACCAAATCCTGGGCTATCAAACTCACCTGTTATGGGCTTCACACAGGCCGTGCAACGTTTGGCAAACAGCTCGCCAAAGCACTCGGCACAATAAGGCTTCTCATCGCGGCTGGTGAATCGCTGGCCAGCTAGCGTGATGTTGCAATGGGTGCAGGTGAAGCACTCGCGATGCCACGGCTCGTTCTTGTAGGTAACACCGCCCGAGGTGATGACCTAAAAGGAATATGGCATTTGGTTTCGTTAAAACAGGGCAAAATAAAATCTAACAGACTAAATATTCTGGTAACACCTCTCGAGGTTATGACCTAAAAGGAATATGGCATTTGGTTTCGTCAAAAAAAGTAAAAAATAAAATCTACAAATTCAGAATTTATAAATATATAACACATGTGTATGTATATTCGACTATCAAATGTAAATTGGAGTTCACTCTATAGGTTTTCCAGAAACATACTATAATAAAAAATATTTAAAAAATTTAATTTCAACTTTTTTTCCTAATTAATTTTTCAATATCTTTGCAAGAGCAAAATTGTTCCTAGTTTATATTATTATTTTGTTTTTATAACTAATAACTCCTTATCAAAATGAAAAATATTAAATATTCATTAATATATATTTTATATCAATTCAGAGAATAAAAAATAAAAGCCTTCTAATTTTTGGCCAAATTTAAGAAAAAACAAGAAAGGAAAGCTAACTTCGGGCGGAGCCGAAGTTGAAATACCCTTGCAGAATATTCTGCAAATTATATTCTCCAAAATTATTCATATGATGCATTCTTTATACTCATAAAAAATCCCAACTTCCTAACTTTAAAAACACCAAAGTTATGGCATTTCCAATAGTTCAGTTATGTATATGGCAGCTATAGAATATAGTCGGCCGATCCTTATGAAATTTGATATGTCGGATTGATTGGGCAAAAAATAAAACCCATAGAAAATTCCAACTTCCTAACTTAACAAACACTTAAGTTATGGCATTTCCGATCAATCAGTTATATGGCAGCTATAAGATATAGTCGACCGATCCTTATGAAATTTGGTAGGTCGGATTGATTGGCCAAATATAAAACCCATAGAAAATCCCAACTTCCTAACTTAACAAACAGCAGAGTTATGGCATTTCCGATCAATCAGTTATATGGCAGCTATAGGATATAGTCGGCCGATCCCGGCCGTTCCGACTTATATACTGCGTGCAAAGGAAAGAAGGGTGTGTGCAAAGTTTCAATTCGATATCTTTAAAACTGAGAGACTAGTTCGCGTTGAAACAGACAGACGGACAGACAGACGGACAGACAGACGGACAGACAGACGGACAGACAGACGGACAGACGGACAGACGGACAGACGGACATGGCTATATCAACTCAGGAGGTGATCCTGATCAAGAATATATATACTTTATAGGGTCGGAGATGTCTCCTTCACTGCGTTGCACACTTTTGACCAAAATTATAATACCCTCTGCAAGGGTATAAAAATGTATCGGCGATAGATTCAAAATAATATTTAATAAATCTATTTCTCAAAAGTTGGCATTACCATTAAGGAAAAGTTCGAGGGGGTTGAATTTTATTGATTGATTTTATATTCTATGACATATTCTATGACATATTCTATGACATATTCTATGACTAAGTACAAATTTTCTTATATGTACCAGTGCTCAATAACAATTCTAAATTAGGTTTAAAATTAAATCTGAAAAACACACCAAAGATCCTTATGAAATTTGGTATGTCTGATACATTGACCAAATAAAAAACCAATACAAAATCCCAATTTCCTAACTTTAAAAACACCAATGTTATGGCATTTCCGATCGTTCAGTTAAATGGCAGCTATAGAATATAGTCGTCCGATCCTTATGAAATTTGGTAGGTCAGATTGATTGGCCAAATATAAAACCCATAAAAAATCCCAATATCCTAACTTTAAAAATAAAAACAAGAAAGGAAAGCTAACTTCGGGCGGAGCCGAAGTTGAAATACCCTTGCAGAATATTCTGCAAATTATATTCTCCAAAATTATTCATATGATGCATTCTTTATACTCATAAAAAATCCCAACTTCCTAACTTTAAAAACACCAAAGTTATGGCATTTCCAATAGTTCAGTTATGTATATGGCAGCTATAGAATATAGTCGGCCGATCCTTATGAAATTTGATATGTCGGATTGATTGGGCAAAAAATAAAACCCATAGAAAATTCCAACTTCCTAACTTAACAA